ATCTGAGGGAAATTTGGGATTTTGGGATCGTTCTGGATGGATCCAAAACGGTTCCGAGCCATCCCAGCACACCATGGACAGATCTGAGAGAAATTCGGGATTTTGGGATTGTTCTGGATGGATTCAGGGCGGTTCTGAAGGATCCCAGCACAGCATGGACACATCTGAGCAAATTTGGGATTTTGGGATCGTCCCGGATTGATCCAGAGCGGTTCTGAAGGATCCTGGTCAGACACGAGGCCAGGCACGGACAGATCTGAGCAAAAATCGGGAGTTTGGGATTGTTCTGGATGGATTCAGGGGGGTTCTGAAGGATCTCAGCACAGCATGGACAGATCTGAGAGAAAATCGGGATTTTGGGATTGTTCTGGATGGATCCAAAACGGTTCTGAGCCATCCCGGCACAGCACGGACAGATCTGAGTGAAAATCGGGAGTTTGGGATTGTTCTGGATGGGTCCAGAGCGGTTCTGAGCCATCCCAGCACACCATGGACAGATCTGAGGGAAAATCGGGAGTTTAGGATCGTCCTGGATGGATCCAGAGCAGTTCCAGAGGTTCTGAGCCATCCCGGCACAGCACGGACAGATCTGAGGGAAAATCGGGAGTTTGGGATTGTTCTGGATGGATCCAGAGCAGTTCCAGAGGTTCCGAGTGATCCTGGCACAGCATGGACAGATCTGAGAGAAATTCGGGATTTTGGGATCGTCCCGGATTGATCCAGAGCAGTTCTGAAGGATCCTGGCCAGGTACGAGGCCAGGCATGGACAGATCTGAGAGAAAATCGGGATTTTGGGATCGTTCTGGATGGATCCAAAACGGTTCTGAGCCATCCCAGCACACCATGGACAGATCTGAGTGAAATTTGGGATTTTGGGATCGTTCTGGAGGGCTTTGGGACAGCTCCAAGTGATCCAGAACCACCCAGAGGGATCCAGAACCACCCAGAGGGATCCAGAACCACCCAGAGGGATCCAGAACAGCTCCAGGGGATCCAGAACAGCTCCAGAAAAATCCCAGAACCATCCGGGACCAGCGGGAAGTGACCCCGGGACTCAGAACCCCGTGGGATAATCC